AAATTTTGTTTTGCTAGAAAAAGTTTTGAAGCATTTTTTCACAATTTTCTTGGTTTCTTTTCGTTTTATATTATGTTTAACTGTATCACGCACACACACATACACATTTCTATATGCGCTTACAAACTGTGATGTAGTCAGCTCTCGGTACCCAAAACCATCCATTCATGTTTCCTGTCACCCTGCACTGCAGAGTGGACCGACAACGAGCAACTCTGTTGTTGTTCGTCCTGACTGTTTTGCTCTGCTCCGCTCTGCTCTGCTCTTCTGTGCTGGTTGGGCTATGCTGTGCTGTGTCATGCCTGGCTCACAGGTCTGGGTCTCTGGTTCGGTTTGGTCTTTTGCCATTGCCATTGCCTGGCTTGGCTGGCTGGCTATATGCGAGTTTCCATTAGATTTATTGCCACATTTTACTTTGGGCACATTCGCAACGACAACGTTGCCTGCCACATTGCCGCAGTTGCTGCTGCTCTGATGCTATTATTATTGTCGTTGTTGTTGTTGTTGCTGCTTCTGCTGTCTGTTCGTCGCCAGCAACATTTGTTATGAGTATGTGTGTGTGTGTGTGTGTGGATGTGTGGGTGTGTGCTTGGGCGCCTCTTCACTTGCTCGGGCGCTCCTGCGATGGCTTTGTATGTATGTTTGTACCAACTTCTCCCCTTCGCACCACGTCAAGTTGAAAATCCTTTCATTAATGGCACACAAAGTTCGGTTTCTGGCTGCTTCTACTTCTTGTCTTCTTCTTCTACTTCTATGTCTGTTAGACACCCACGTGCGCCAAAGGTGTCTTGACTGCCATCCTCATCGTTGTTGTTGTTATTGTCGGTTTTTGCTGACTGAATTGATAGGAACACTCAAAAACTGTAATAACTTGAGATGCACAGCAAGAGAAATGTGGAAAATGTCTGCACAATAAATCAATATTAATGTGTGAGATGGGGCAATCAAAATTGGATTAATCGAAGTTATTGTACTTCAGATGGTTGAACGTTTCAGGTAGAAATTGAATTATTTACACATACATAAAATTGCTCATTCTTTCAAATGTTTTAATATATAGTTTAAATGACAAGACTGCTTTAATAATTCATCATCCTATAGTTTTCATACATCCTAGATCTCTATATACCATTTTTGTATATTTAAACTCATTTTTAGTGTTCAATTCATATTTAAATTGAGTTTTGCTTTTACTAACTTTAGATGCAGCCTATTTATTCAATGGACCAATTTGCGTTTTTTAAACTGTACCAAATAGGTAGACAGTAATTTTTTTTTATAAATAATATTAAATGTTTGGTCTTCCCTATTTCTTTTATATATATATTGTATTGGTACAAAAAGACGATCCTTATTTTTAGTGATCCCATTAACAGTTCACGGATTGAGTTCCTCAATGTGTGTTGCTTCATTTCATATTCAGTTCGAGTGGTTTCCTCACTTCTGGGCTACACCGCACGACAAAGCGAAGGAGCAACATAGCCTTGCGCCTGCTGTGACTTTGATATTTTCATTTTGTGTGAGTGGGTGGCAAATTTCCACGTTGCTTAGTTGCTTGCCTGCCTGCTGCCAGCCAGCCTTACTGCCTGGCTGCCTCGTTGCCTGACTCGCATCGTTAAAAGTTTCCTTTTGGTTGTTGGTGCCGTCGTGCACATTTTCCTGATCGCTGTTTCCCGTTCGTTCGTCCGTCCTACTGCTTCAGCTTCTCATCGTTTTTGCTGATTTGTTATTTAGTTTGAATTTCGTATGCGGTGGCAGAGGCGGCGTCCTTTAGTGCTTTTCCTTTAGGTCTGCTGTTGCTGCTTCTGGCAGCGAGTGTTTTTCACCAACTTGACGTTTAGGTCCTCGTAGACTGCTGGCGTCTGCTCCTCGTAATCCGCACGTTTTTCTCCTTTTTCCTTCTTTTTACTTCCCTTTTTTGTGTGCGCTTTTTGCGCAAACAGGAGCAGAAGTTGCTAAATTGAAATTAAACTTTATGAAATAGCAGTTTTGTCTCCACCTCCCCAACCTTGTTCTCGTTAGTAGTCTCTGTGCTCTTGGACCTGCTGGCACCAGTTGACTGACTGTCTGATTGGCAGCTGTGTGGGCTTTTAAGCTCTTGTAGCTCTCTTACCTTCTGCCTCCTTTGTCTATCTCTACACACGTGCACATTTTGGAATGCACGTACTTATATGCATACATATATACATATCACAATCTTGATCAACGTGCCTGCAGTTCCTGCCTCGATGCGATGTTCATAAACAATGGATTAAACTGGACTCACATATGCCAGAGTGGGTCGAAATGACACAACCGAAGCGACTGTAAAATGCGAATAAATTTCTTAATTTAAATGATAGCGGCTGAAATTTAATAGCAATGTGGCTAAACGGTCTATAAAGAGCCCGAATACCCGCTAGAAAAAAAAATTTTATCGCAACAGGAGATACCAAACAAAACGTAAACAAACTGCTACGAAAAAACATTTGTAAAAAGTTTTCGATAAGAAATACGTGTAGGTCTATAATGCAGAATATGTATACAAAAAATATTAATCGCGATTTTTGATTAAAATAAAAAGTAAATCTCTGATGCCAACTTTCGAAGCCACAATCGTATTTACTATGTTTCTGGCTAAAATTACATAAGCTTAGATACATGTATGTAGTACGTATGTTATCCTTTATCCTGCATTGCATACCAACGATATACCAATATTTTTCAGTCCCATATATTTTGAAAACAGTTGAATTTGATAGCTATGTAGTTTCTACAAGTATTTCTGTGTTTTGTGTATCGACTGTTTGCTTCAGAAATAGTGGAATTTAAACGTTGCCTTCTGTGTTTATCAAACATAGCTCGGTCTGTCTACCTACTACTGAATATTATTTATTTAGATTAGAAATCTTTGGATTGGAATTGGTGTGCAGCAAAACAAATAAACAGCCCGTCATATTCTGAAATACCAATGTCTAGAGCTACACATGAAGTTAAATTTCAATCATCATGGCTCCAAACTTGATTGATTAGTGTTTGGTTCCTTAACAAAACGCTAGTATGTTATTTGAGAACTATTTGCAATCGGAATATTCTCAGTACTGTTGTGGTCGTCTATCTAATAGCAAACCATCAAGAACAGTTCCAACTGAGTAATGCAAGGCTAAAAGCAGTGGACGGTGTTAGAGCAGCTGCCTCTGCGTGCTTCTCGCTTTTGCTTTTGTGGCTGCTTTAACAACTTTTAGCAGCTGTTTAGACATGCCAGTGTCAGCTGTTTTCTTTTTGTTTTATGTATTTCTCTTTATTTTTCACCGCAGCCACCGCAATGCCAGCAACAACAATAGACATAACAACAGTAAAAACATTTTCAGCCGTACTTTGACTGCAGGGCTAAGCTTTTAACCAAGTTACAACGAACGAATTCCAGTTTTATCGATTTACACTGTAAATTTAACAGTTGGGAGTAAAGCGCAAGAAGCGCACACCTTTTACATTCATCTTTGTTGTTTTTGCTGTTACGGCCATCCCGCCATGAGAGCTATACTATGTCTGTCTGGTTTATCCTGCCACTGCTGCCTTGCACATTTTTTATCATCAACATTTAGGTTTTCGCTTTTGTCTTTTTTAATCTGCACATTTGTGACTGTCAAGTGAAAATCCCCCCGAGGGTGCGTCCAGTGTACATACAGACAAATAAATGTACGTTTGTGACTACTGTATGTGTGCGTATGTGTACGTGTGTGTGTATTGGTTTTATGTACAAGTAACTGTATGTATGTGTGTGTGTGTGTCTGTGCGCATTTACGAAATTGGTTGTGGAAAATCGATTAAAATTATATGTATGTACAATAAACGCCAGCAATGGCACACAAGCTACAGCAACAACAACTACTACAATGGACAGCGACAATAATTGAACAGAGCAGCTGAGAGCAATGCGCGCACGCTCTCCTCTCTTGTTCTCTCTCCAACAGACAGACAAACCAACAACAAAACTACCGTCATGGTGGTGGTGGGTGGCAAAGAAATCGCCGTTGTTGTTTTTGTTACTGTTTCTTGATTTGCTTGAACATGCAAGTTAAATTTGCTTGAGCTACTTATAAGACTGTTGCACGCCCCAAACGTACAAACATACACACAAATACACACATTCGTTTTACATATGTGTTGTGTCTGTCTTTTTATAACAACCTATTCGGATAGATAGAAAGAAAATCAGATATTTGTTTTTATTCGTCTTTTAGTTGTGGCTGCGGCCTGAAGCTTCAACATTAGCCATGTTGTTGCATATTAATGCTAGCTTAATTACAACATTGTCCATCATCAGTGCAAGCTGTGAGCAAATGACAACAACTGGTTCCCAAATACACTTGAAAAACGCAAGTCTTTATCACCCCCCACTTTTTGTCTGCCAAATTCCGGCATAAAAAAGAAGATATATACATATATAATTGTTATTATTAAAGTTGTTAAAAAGTTATTTGTACTGTCATTATAAAGAAGTTTTCTTCTGTAATAATTTCACCAAACCTTTGTTTTTTGCTCATATGAAAATATCCTTGAAACCCAATTCATTTCACAAATGCTCAATTCGCCATTTGTGACCAAAACCACTAGTGAATATTACAAGTTGTGATTGATGTTCATACAAAATATTACAAATATTCTTCCCCATTGATTGATTGATTGAGGTTTGATTGGGTCGGCCGAAGGCCTCAGTTGCCAACACTACCTTTTAGATGAAGCTTTTCATGTTTAATCATCATTCTAGTAAAAATTGTTGCAAAACCATCCGAAATGTTTTTGAGTGTAGAAATTAATCGTAGCATCTCTTTTGGGCGGTGGTGTTAGAGCTTAATTACTTACTGTGCGTACTTCTGGGGAAGCTTGACAAGCGACATGACGCCGAGATTATTACAGTGTTTTGCTTTTAATAATACTAAACACTTTCTAATTACGATTTTAAATGTATCTTAATTGATGATGTGATTTATTTATGTGTTTGCTTGTGTTTTTTGCAGACAAATACTTCCAGAGGTCAATCACCTTATCCGCCAGCGCATGGTCAAAACTCAGGTTCCTATCCAAGTTCACCCCAGCAACAGCAACAACAACAGCAGGCGGCGCAGCAGCAACAACAAGCAGCACAACAACAACAACCTGGTGGGGTTGGAGCAGCTGGCGCGCCAGCACCACCACCTGGCGCATCGCAACAACCACAACAGCAGCAACCACAACAAACTACACCGCCAGCATCTCAATATTCGCCGTACCCGCAAAGATATCCTACACCGCCTGGCTTACCAGGAAGCGGACCAAATCATCGAACTGCCTACACGACGCATCAGGTAAGGTTCTTCTTAGCTCTAAAAAACCAATTAATTATTAATTATTTTTTGATTCGCCAAATGTCTTTTATGATGAGATTTTGATAGGATTAAAAAGTGTATTGGTTCTTATCATGTCACATTAATCGCACTACGTATTCTTGAAATTGGTGTAGATAAATATACAATGCAAATGATATAGAAATAATGGTGATACTACAAATCGATATAGGTATGGACCTGAAGAGTTCTGAGCCATAAAAGCATGGGATAGCTATTTTTTCATGTAACTGCGACCAAGTTTGTTACAATCTCTATATAGCCTCATTATTTTATATAAGTGCCATTTGAAAATTCTGTGAAAAAATATGCTGTTTAAAAATCTCTTTTAACACAAAAAAAAATGCTAATTATAGGTTTTTTGTGGCTTTGCTTATTTCAAAGCTTTATTAAAGTCGATACACTATGTCATATAAATGACATAGGAACGATATTTTATACATATTTTGGAATTGGAGAAGTAATGGGAGTTCAAAGGGGACTGGCATACGTATTTGTTCAGCATTAATAATTATTTATACTTATTTACATTTTAAATCGGGGAATAAAATGGAAATCCTTTTGATACATAAATATGCTTTTTGCTAATTACCATTAAACAATCAGCAATTGTTTGCCCGCATTTGAAAATATATTTATGTGTTGTCTTTTTTATGCAACCAGAAGCTGCACAAATATTGCACATATTTCCTTTCAAAATCCATTCTTTAATGAATTTATAAATACATGTATATACATATGTGTGTATGTACATGCGACATTTTAAATTGCTAATGCTACTCAATCATTCCGATTGCAGTATCCTGAACCCAATCGGCCTTGGCCGGGTGGTTCATCGCCTGCACCTAGTCCCGGACCCGGTGGTCATCCATTGCCGCCCGCCTCGCCGCATCATGCGCCGCCGCAGCAGCAGCAACAACAACCTCCACCGCCGCCACATGCGACGGCCGGTGGTCCACCGCCCAGCAGTAGTCCAGGACATGCGCCAAGTCCGTCACCGCAGCCCTCGCAGGCATCGCCATCGCCACATCAGGTAATTAATTCAATTTTTTGCTTCGTTTGATGCAAACATGAGGATGTATCCATCCAAACATACATATGTGTATGTATATACAATGCATATATATGCATGTGATTCTCGTTGCGAATTTACGCGCCGTTGCCAAATTTCAGTGTTGGGCAACACATCGAATGGTGTGAGTTGGAAGCAGCGGCTCAACAATATAAAAGCAGCGTACAAAAAAAAAGGTTAAATGCACTACATAGTTTGACGTGGAAAAAATATTAATTGGAATTATGTGCGTCTGGTTGTGTATGTGGCAGCACTTTGTTGGTCGATTTTGTGTTATGCAGCTGCAATTCATTGGACAGAAGTGCTGGCCATAAATTGCCAGAGGCCTTGCAGGCATTTGTTGTTGCATTAGTTGAATTGTTTGCGGAATTTCATTTCGTGCGTTCATAATTACATTAATTTTTCACAACACCCAACCTGACTGACTGTTCCCAATTTTTCAACAACAATTGACACATGCAAATGATTCTATTCTATATGTACATAAATATTGTGTAAAGAATGCAATCCACATTTAAAATGTGAATAAAAATTTCATTGCACATCTGCTTCAGTTAAATTCTTTTCCTAATCAACGCGTAATCAAATCACAATTCACAAAAGAAATCCAGGAATAAAAGTAACAAATCCCTACAAAGTATGTCTGTATTAACGTCAATATCTCGAATAAGAATAGGAGCTACCTTGCTAGGAATGTTCTTCAATATCGGGGAAAGAACAAATTTGTTTCATTCGCTATCGAGCTTTCGAAGGCAGCGGAAATAAATAGGAGACACAAAGAAAGAATGTACTTACAGCAAACGCTTAAAAGAGAAACTGTTGAGTCGAAAGTGTGGCCATCAGCTGTTCTTCTTCCACACACAAACACACTGAACGCAATCCGTTATTAAAGTTACCCATAAAAGTAAAAGGTTACCGGGCTATAATAGCAAATTGTATTGGGCACGCACCTTTTGGGCCACGGGTCGAGCTGACTCTTGAGGCCAAACCGTCTGGCCATATATCAAATTCGCAGACTGACGTTTTTGTTGATATGTGCCAGCAATACGTTCATTTTCATAGTTGTTTTATGTAGCCGTATATGATTGTTCGTATGTATATGTATATGAATGTATTTCTTCTTCTCACTGAGTCGTTTTTCATTTATAAACTGGGTCAATAAACTTTGCCGCGGCATCGTCAACAGCAGCAGCAGCAGCACGTGAACTTGACTCTGCCGTGACGTCAGATTGCGACGTCGTCACCACTTTGTGTCCCAAAGAAGAGGGCCCCTTTCTCGCCCCGCCTTCCTCTCTTATGCATTCACTCTACTATGTCTGTACTGCCGTGGTTCATGGTCGGCATTTAGTATGAACTGCTGAGACCGCTGCTTGCTTGCCTTCTTATGCGGATTTTCTTTTGCTCCTCCTCCTCCTCGACGTACCACAATCTGAGATTGTTTCGTCTCCCTTTTTTTCGTGCCACATATTTAAAATGCCATTGTGCCCCACCACTCTGATACGCGGAAGCCGAGATGTTACGTCTTTAAGAATTATTTGTGGACTGTTTGAAGCAGTAAACCAATTAAAACCCAAGCGTTTTATGCAAATGATGTTTGTTCGTTGCATTACATCTTTCCAAATTTAATTGCCTGCTAAACTATAGTTGTTTATTTAGTTATCGAACTATCGCGCTGTTTCCTCGCAACCCGATTGTAATGCAGCCTTAAAACTGCTACTAGAAAGTTGGAAGAGCTGACTGGTAATAAACCAATGGGCCAAGTGTGGAGTAGAGTTTTTCTTTTAAAAACCCAAATACGCTCTTGTTAAAGAACTGTTTTTTTTTTTTAATACTTTGTTTTGCACAAAAGGAATCATATTGGTTGTACCAAAAAATCTATTTTAGACAACAGCCACGACCATCTGCTAACACTAATATCTGTTGTGAATAATATATATACACTAGATCATACATATAGTATAGCACTATATACTAATAATAAACCCCAAAGCTAAAGAACAATACTAAATATATGTGTGCACTAAGAGCTTTTGTTATGATCGAAATGATGACACTTTTTGTACGCTATTAGAAGATTTGTTTCACAATCGGGCTTCTTACGGTACAGTATAGTAGAAGCTGCTTGTATGTACCTAAAATCTGATTTTTAAAACTCCAATAAAGTATCCAAATGCTGTCAGGATAGAAATGGAATCAAGAACTAATGCAATAGCAATCCAAATGAACCGGAGTACTTCCCTACAAGTCTCAAATGTCTCTGTATTGGTCCAAATGGACCGGAGTACTTCCCTGTAAGCCTCAAAAGTCTCTGTATTTATAAAAAAAAAAAAGGCACACATTTTGGAACTTCTTCCTCAGACACATTTGTGATGCAGTTCAATGTATGTAGTATGCGTATGTATGTATTATGATTGTTGTTGGCATTCTTTGTCATCAACATCGTAAACATGCTTTTATTTTTATGAATCTTAAGTGATTTTATTTCAGTTTGTTTTGATTACTGTTTCTTTTTCTTCACTTTTTGCATTGGTATTTCTGTTCTCGCCGATTTGTTTATGGCGGCATTGACAATGCGAGTCTTCACTCCCACATCCCCAGCGCCACAGATTTTTCCGACCCCGTTCAACATAAGTACTACACTGGTATTTTTTTTTGCTATAATATAGCTATAGATTCATGATTCTTATGTATAATGTTATGTGCAGTTTTATTTGTTTGCGTGCCTCGCCAGTTTCCGTTTGCGCGCTTCCACTTGATGAAGACGCTTAAGCGTTATTTGTTTTTATTCATGTCGCCACTATTGTTTATTTATTGCCCGCAAAGCCGGCACCTTAATTATTTTGTTGTTGCAGTGTTTTGTTTTTAGTTTATTTTTAAATATTTAAATGCCTGCACACACACACACATGATCGGACTAAGAGGCATTGCTTAAAAGCTCAACTCATCACACATCTATAATTTTTCATTCCCCTCGGCTGCATATTCCATAGTCCACATCAATCCGCGTCAAGATGAAGGCAAACGCAAACGATTAAGTCTGTATGTATAGGTATGTGTGTGTGTGTGTATTTTGACCCCAACCTACCTCAAATCGTATCGTTTGTATCTGTATCTGGAAATCATGCCGACGTCGACGCTCGCCGCAACTTTGAAAAAGTAAACAAAAAAAAAAAAGAACAGAAAATGTGAGCACTCAATACATTTTATGCCGCAATGTTTTACATATAGAAATTGTATATAGGTGTCGTTATTAATATACAAGTATATGTATAGCAACAGCACAATAATGCTAATCAATTGAGTGGAAGTTGAGGAAGGAATGGAATGTAAACAGCTACTACTTTACTTCACTGACTCTGTTGTTGGTGTTGTTGTTGTGTTGTGTTGAGTTGGGTGCAAGTCAAATGGGTTTACTGGAGCACAACAAAAAGGCCAAAATGTTTGAAAAGGCAAACAACGGCACAAAACAAATGCCGCCAAAAATGAAAACTGTAACGGCCTTGCTAGGTAGGGCTGTGAATTGTGGGTGTGTGCCAAAAGGTTGAATGAAAGGAATGAATTGATATTGCTATTACTTTGCTTCTACCTATTATTATTATTCGAAGTAGTTAAAACATCTCAGACCCAGCTTAAAACATTAGATTCCGTCGTTTGATATGTAAACACAATTTATAATTGTGTGACATTTTGGAAATCAAAACCAACATTTAGAATAAATTTAAATTAAAGTACATAGTACTTGAATTAGTATGTTGACTATACTCATACTCGACTGACTCTTTAATAGAGCAATCTGAAATAATTTTCATTAACTATATTCCCGAAGCGCTGGTGCACCAATTTCTACTCAAGTTGAGAAGTTCTATTCAAAGCAATGGCTTTAAATGTATTCCGTTAGCCACCTTAAAACGGAAAGCTGCCACAAATTATGGCAAAGGTGGAGTGCTGGTCTACAAAGCAAAACTCTGAGCATTTCAATGAAAAAGTTTGGGAGTGGTTCAAGGACAAACAGATGGAACCCTGGCGCACAGTTTGGGCGTGGTCCTCAATAGCTTTTGCAGCAGTTATTAAGAAGACAAGGGGCTCCTGTGGTGTTGCTTTAAAAGCGCAATCACACCGCATACTACTTCTTTACATTCCAATAAGAGTTGACCGAAAGTGTCATGGATTGGAAAAAGGATGCTCCTGGACACTAACTGGCCGCATGCAGCACCTAACGACCTAATCCAGCCCGTCTGTTCATTGTGCATCTTCACTTGCTTTGTGTGGCAGAAGAATTCAGTTTCCCACAAAAGCTTTAGGTTTTAAAATAAATGTATTGTTACATAACTTGATGGAAAGACAAAGACAGGCAGAGAGAGAGATAGAGAGAGGGAGAGAAGAGTTGGCTATGCGACTGGGGAACCATTCGAATTTCTATTCATTCTATTTGTGTACTTCGTGTAACAATTGAGACGCATGCCAGGGCGCTCTACACACAACCGGCACTTATTGTTTAGGTTGATACGCGCTATCGTGGCGTCATCAACTGCGACAACAACAGAAGCAGCAGCAATAACGGCAACTTGTTCGTATGTATGTATTTATGTTTGTGAGTACGCGCTGTTCTTGCCGTGTATATGCTTACATGAATGTGAGTGTGTGTGTGTGTGTGGGCTCGTTTGTTTGTACCCCATTTATTCATTCAGCATGTCCGTAGTCGTCGGCGGCGTCATTCCTCCTGGCCCTCTTAACATTTTTTTTTTCACTCATTCCCTTCATAGTATGCACAGACACATACACACTCACACGCACACATAGACACAACACAGCTACACTTAAGATCATACAGCAAGCGGCGTACATACATACATAGGTATATATGTATATGAGCATATATTTGGGTCAATGCCAAGGTCATTGTTGTTGTTGCTGTTCTTGCTGGCATTTGCGGGTTGTTCACTTTTTACATACACTTCTCC